AAGTATCGGCAGCATCCTTTGAATAGATCGCCATCTCCCTGTCAGCCTTAGTCCAGCTTATCGCAGCTTCTGCCCGAGCATCGATGATCTCAGCCCTGACCTTCAAAAGCTCGGACTCAAGCTTTGCAATCATGTCTGTCTGAACTAAAGCATTATCATAGGCTAAGCGGAGTTGAACTTCAAAAGCAGGAACTTTAGCCAGAGCATCCTTCCCCTCTAAAGCCTGAGCCTCCGCTCGAGCTCTCAGCTCATCATATTCACGCCTGGCCCGACCAACTTCATCTCGAAGACGCTCTAGGGCCTCCGTCTTTTTCTGCAACTGAAATAAACTAAGTATTAGCCTCAGGAACTAGGAGGCGGGATGCAGGCTCACCCAGGACAGAAAATTACCTGCTCCTTCAGATGGTTCTCGTAGTTCAAGCTCCGACCCACCTCATACTGCAAGTGTGCCAGCTCGACTTTCTTTTTCTCACAAAGGAGCCTAAGGTATCTCTCCTCATCCGGAGCTTTATATAGCCTAACTTCACAACGAAGCAGCCCAGACTTAAGCTTGTCGAACGCCTGCAAAAGAAAGCCCAATAAGAAAGGAAAGGCGCGAAGCTCGAAAGACCTATGCAGAAACTCACCATAAAGTAAAGCCGCTGGTCTTCCTTAAAGGCAGAGCGCACACCTGCCAATCTAGTTCCTTCAGCCCTGAAAGATTCGACTACGGTCGAAGCACGATTGCACGGTGTACGCGACCCTGGGTTCCTAGTATCTCCCAAAGTATTATCGATGGAAAACGAAGGCGACAGCGACGGAGAAACCCTCTTTCCAGAACTGGGAGTCGCGGACACGATAGGCTCGGATGTGCTTTTGCTTCGAAGCCTCGGTACTGCTCTGCCTTACTTTGAGCAACATCGCCCTATGAAAGCACCTCTCGTTCATTGATACTGTTCTTCAGCCTAGAAGTTGGCAACCCTTCCCCCTCTCCGAAAGAGCACGGCCTCGCCTCGAAAGTCTCTCTAATGCCTACAACAATAAGATTAATGCATGTAAAGGGTATATGTTTCTCCACATGAAAGAATGGAAAGGAATGAATAACACAGCGGTCACCATGGTATTTTGCTTCCCATCTGCCCCAAGACAAAGCTCGCCACTTGCGCTCCTCATAGGTCGAGTGGGTCGCCAATTCTCGGACCCAATCCGGTAGATCAAGAACATTGCCCGATGCCCATGAAATCGCTGCGGGAAAAGAAAAGAAGGCACAGTTACGAAACTAGGCTTTTGTCATAGACAGAACTGAGAAAGCACAAGATGCACCACTTACGAGTATAATTCCATTCCTCAGGGAATGGCACAAGCTCTATGAGGATAATGTTAGCGGTTTGCACCCAGATGAAGCGACTCATCCACCCCCGATCTCTGTCTTCCTCGTCGTCAACAACAAAGGGCGTAGTCGGTCGGCATCGCAAGGTCAGCAGGCCTCGATGGTGGAAGGGTCGGTACAGCCTGATAAGATGACTATGAGTAAAGTCAAGCCCCTCCTTCTCCGCAAAAAAATTCATCATCAGCATCGTTCGCCAAAATGACGGATGGATCTGCGCCAAGGTAACCCGATACTCTAGGCAGAAGTAGAGCACAACCCTATCAAGGGGGCCTAATGTGAAAGGGTATATGTACATATTCAAGAATCCATCGGCACAATCCGTGATTCCCTTACCCAGGGGAAGTATCTGTGGTACTACATTTTCCCCCATCCACAATCTTTTCTCACTAACCCAAGATGTTTTTCTCCTATCGAAGAAACAACCTTCAAGTCATACTCTCGTTGGTCCTGAATGCCGGAGGCGGAGCTCTCCCTTCCCTGACGGACGGACCCCAACATAGCAGCCATGGCTATGACAAAATTAGAAAACTAAAGCGGGGATATGTGCAAGTGCATTACTGCTAGAGCAACGAAAGGCTAGCCCAGAAAAAGAAGGGCAACTGCTTAAAGTAGTAGGATCCCCTAAAAAGCAAAAAACGTCCATGTATATATATGGAAAAAAACGGCGACGATCTGCTTGCCTCAAAACCAGCTAAAAGTACCATTGCTAGTCCCGAGGTGGTACCCAACCTCGAGGACCTCCATCAGGACAAGGCTAGGCTCCAGGAAGCCGATGATACCTTTGCTAGCACCGAGGTAGTAGCCGACCTCGAGTATCTCCATCAAAAAGAAGTTAGGCTATAAAAGGCCAACAACATCATCGCCAGTCCTGTGGTGGTACCCGACTTCAAGGACCCCCATCAAACAGAAGTTAGGCTTTAAGGAGCCAACGATATCATCGCCAGTCCCGAGGTGATACCCGATCTCGAGGATCTCTATCAAAGAAAAGTTAAACTCCAGAGAGCCGACAACATCACTAATCCCGAGGTGGTACCCGACCTTAAGGACCTCCATCAGAACAAGGTTAGGCTCCAAAAAGCAGATAACATCTTCTCCAGTCCCGAGGTGGTACCTGACCTCGAGGACCTCCATCAGAACAAAGTTAAGCTCCAGGAAGCCAATAATGCCTTCTCTAGTCTCGAGGTAGTAAGTGACCTCGAGGACCTCCATCAGAAAGGATCTGGGCTTTAAAAGGTCAATGCCATCATCGTCGGTCCCGAGGCAATATCCGACCTCGAGGATCTCCATCCAAAATATGTTAGGCTACAAGAAGCCTTAAATAGCATTACAGATATCATCCTAAACCGGACAGCCCCTCATCTGGGACCCATCTACAATGCCTTAAGATTGCATACACTAAGTTCAAGACAAGTCTCCAAATGCCCCGGATCAACCCTCACTCGGGGACTATTCTCGAAGGTCTAAAGGTCGAGTCTTAGTTTAAGGGTTCAAAGCCCTACTTCTTCTCGACTCAAAGTAAGGGTCCTGACGTCCCGAGTTTATCGGATCAATCCAGGTTTGGCCTGAGGAACGGCAAAAGATCTCACAGGAAGCCGTTTTTATCAACTAAAGGACGGAAGGAATACTCGCACCCGGGTTCGGTATTAGCAACAACAGACAAATTCGTGCATGCAGAATCTCCACAAATGTAAAAGAATGTAGCAAGCATCAAAGATAAAAAAAATTGAGAAAATATCTCTGTATTTATGAACATTCAATTACAAAAGCCCACGAGGTGTCCTTACATTTGATTACAAAAGCCCACGAAGGGTCCTTACACATAAACAAAGAAGCATGAAGGTGTACATATAGTGAAAGCCTAGGGGCATAGACTATTCTCAAAGGTGTGTCCTCGACAACAACATTTTCGGGCATCATCTCCTCAGGCACACGTCCTCAAAGACAATATCTTCCAAGCACAATCTCGTCAGGAGTCTTATCTCTGTTCCCCAGAATGGCATCTTCAAAAGGGGAGACGACGAATAGGAAAGCGTTGGAGAAGAGCAAAGTGATGTGGAAGAGGCAGGAAGAAACGAAGAAGTGGCTGGGTGAAAAATCTGGCTAGTATGGATTTCACCAGGCTATTATTGTAAAGCCACTTCTTGAGACATTGCCCCGGTGCGGTATGAAACAGTTAGTAGGTGGTACCACCTCACCCCATGGAAAGCAAAGAGAGTAAGGCACCGCACCGGGTAATCATGGGAGGTGAGCAGCGGTGTATAATTCGAGCCCCTTCTTGAGCAGCGGTGTATAATCCGAGCCCCCTCTAGAGCAGCGGTGCATAATCCAAATATTTCCTCGAGTCGGAGGAAATCGTCCTTCTGTTCGTCAAACGACGTCAACAATAACAACAACAATAACAACAAAATAGCGTAATCTCGCTCAACCAGAGAAGGTCCAGGAGATAGGTCGTAGCATGCCTGATAAAAGTACCACCATACAATCTTGAGGCCATGGGCCTCAAACATGGTGAACGACAAAGAATAAAGATAGCGAGAAAGGAGGAATGGATAGGTACAGGAAGATACTTAGGTAAAAGGCTGATCCCAGGAGGCCCCCATTTATAGAAAGGGGGCAACGTAACCGACGACGCCATTATCGCCCTCGAAAAATGTAACAACAGGAACATTCAATACGTCCCTGCGAGCTGAATCGATGGCGACATTATGGCCCTGAAGAATGAGAATCCGCAACAAACAAAATGACAAAACATTTCGGTAATCATAGAGGCTTGCATCATCAGTATGACATCATCACGGGAAGCCCAAAGTGTTGGATGTCAAAATCATTTCCTGTTGCTCCTCTCTAAGAAACGCGGGGACTATCTGTATATGGTGAAATAAAAGGAACCAATTTCTCGTTGATAAGGCATCTTGAAAGATCGCTTCGAAGGCTCGAGACCACGGACCGAGTACCCTCCCTTGAGGTCCATCGACACCCGACCTAGGGATAACGTGGTCGCGACCCCAATAGATATGGGGAGTTCCAATGGAGTGCAATCAGGACCGGCAAAATATGTCAGCTAGTCTGAAGCTAGTCTGAGCATGCATCATGAATTTAGCCAGCTGTCCCATCCCGATTTCTTTATTGTTAATGTATTTTGTACTATGTTGAGATTCTCCTCCTATAAAAAAGGGGTCTTTGACACTTTGTAAGGGTCGATTATTGTTTCAGGTGCTCCATAAGATAGAAGAATACACTCTTTGCTCTCTCACGCTCTCTTGATATTATTGCTTTCATTTCTTGTCTTCATACTTGTTCTTCATTTATTGCTTATCATTGACCATAAAGAGTCTCCCTCAGTTATCCCATAACTGTTATCCCTACCCTGATTGCCCTTAATAGCTCGTAGCCGAGCCCTGAGATCGACCTCGAGGCCCAAAATCGACAAGCCCGAGGCCCCGAGTAACCGACCTATCGGTTTGATTATAGCTCTCTCCTTTACTTTATTTCGTCTCTAAATCTCATAAACTTAGCATAACTGTCTAACAAACTAACATAAAAATAGATCACGTAATTTTAGAGTTCTATCAACAAATTTAATTGTTATTACCATTTTCACGGTAAACAATAGTATCAGAGCAGGCAAAGATCCTGAGTTTGAGTCTCACCGTCATCCATTATGAAAAAAAAAATTCACAATCATACTGCACACTTCAATAATGATGAAGTGATTCTTTTCACTCATTACAAAAACAATATGTTTACGCAATAATACATATGTATAATATTCTCAACGGCTAGCTATTATTCCTTGGACATTTCTTCCTCCTCTCTTTCTTCTTAATTCCTCCTCATTTATCAAATATGCAAATGCCAATATCACGGTTAGAAGTTGAACTCAGCAAGTCATCCAACTTAGGTCCTTCTTCTCTTCCACTCTGTAATAACAGCATTCCCAAATCCGAACCATTGTGAGGTTCATAGCTCGAAACACCGTCGTCATCATGGCTCAACTGATAAGCAACAAACTTGTCGAGTGCCCTCCAGTCCGTTACTCTATCATTGACATTCTTATTTATCTTACTCCTTTTCGTTATCTGCTGATCATCTTCGTCGCGGTTATTCTCAGAGACAAGTGACATGGAACTAGGCCTTTTCATGAGTGGCAGAGAAGGGCTTTCTAGCTGTGGAAGCTGAACAAACTGGTCTGAATGTAAAAAGTTGAAACTACTATTGTTATTGGCTTCTATTTCTTGCTTGCATAGTAAATTCTGGCTCATGAAATTTCCAGTAGGAGGCTGTCTTGGGATATACTCAAGGGGATCCACAATAGAGCTGACTCCACTTGATTCTTCATAAAAATAATTTGATTCCCATCCTTCCTCATTATTGATCTTTGCTTGGCCTGTGTTTCTCTTCTTAAATGCTCGGCAAACCACCCAACCTTCTTCCTGCAAAAATTGAACTAAAGTTAGTTAATCCTTCGTTTCATTTTACATGATGGTGTTTGTCTGAATATTGAGTTTAAATAAAAAACGAAGACTTTTGACGCAAAAGTTAAAGTGTTGCACATACAAAAAATGCCTCTTTTTTGTCATGATAAACATGTAAGAGAGTGTCATTAGGGTAAAATTATATGAATATTATAATTAACTAGTTTCCAAATATATATAATTTTTGAACATACTAAAAAGAAAGAGTATGATTACACAAAATGAAATGGACAAGATAATTTACTTTGTAATGACAGCTCATCCAATTATTTTCACTTTTACTACTCCCTCCGTTTCAATTTATGTGAACCTATTTCCTTTCTAGTTCGTGTCAAAAAGAATGACCACTTTCCCTATTTGGAAACAATTTACCTTTATGCAATGATTTATAGCCACACAAAATATATGTGCTTCATTTTACACCACAAATTCAAAAGTCTTCTCTTTTTTCTTAAATTTCGTGCCCAGTCAAATGGGTTCACATAAATTGAAACGGAGGGAGTATTTCTTTTTGACTTGGTGAAGAAACTTCATCTTCATAAAGTGCGTGTACATTTGGAAAAAAGAACGCGCTTTTATTTTCGTCTTTTCTGTTCTTAGTTTTGTTGGAGTGCATGCTTCTTTTGATTATGTAGTAAAGGAAGAAAGGAATAGTCTAATGTAGGCAGGGGTCTCAATGGATATTCGAAAATATGGGTTAAGTTGGACGGGTTGGGCTATGACCCATTCTTTAGCTCATTTTGACCTAACTCATCTTAGCTCAAGCATAGTTTAGACTGGGATGGGCAATAACTCATTTATTGATCTAACACATCTTGACCAACCCAAATTCATTCCAACCCGCCCATTCGGCCCCTAATCAAATGGAATGTAGGAGAGAGGAGAACTGTAATTTCTCTCTTTGAAGGTTGAATGGTTAAAAGCTCAACGATCGACCACGTACTATGAACTTCAAAGAAAGTCAGAACTAATTGAATTCCTAGGGTGGAATAAAGAGCCTTTGATAAATAGATAGTAGTAATAACGGAGTAGTTAATTAACCAAAAATTCAAACTTTATGAAATTACTTTTAGTTAGAATTGTTTAAGTTATATATATATTTTACATATTTTTTTACAAAAATTAATGTAATTTAACTTGTTGTAACATATTACAATATCTACTTTATTGTTAGGTTATATAAGAACATGTTAGTTATAGTAGACCATCACTTTTTGTTGTTGCAAGTAACTTAAATATGATGTAAAAATATACCGGTATACATAATTATTGCACATAAATTAAACTCTAATAATACATAAGATCCAAGTTGATTTATGCAATTATTTTTGGAGAATTATAAAATATTTTTTTTAGCTTTTCACTTGGTGTCATGTATTTATACTGGGATCCAATTAAATCTGGATTTGCGTTGAAAAATTTCACATTAGAAAATGAATCGCTCCTAACAAAGATGATTTCATACTCTAGATAAGAATGAAGAAGTATGTGGTATCTCTCTCCTTTGACATAGAAAGTGTGTAAAAAAGGAAATATGGTTTTTTTTTCGCACCAAATATGGTTTATACCTTTACGAGACTAGTCTGGTAGGGTTTTTACCTAAGATAATTAGTGTCATTGCTGTATTTTACTATTTCAGTGCATGACGTATTTAATAGCTATCGCTTTACTTTGCATCTTTCTTCTGGATTTCATATTCATATTTTTTTTTTGTATTATTTCTGTGGTGATACTAATATTCTTTGTTTTTGTCCTTTTGTTCTATTGAGCTGAGGGTCTTTCGGAAACAGCATCTCTACCCCTTCGGAGTAGGGGTAAATTCTGCGTACACACTACCCTTCCCAGACCCCATTAGTAGGGTTGCTGTTGTTGTTTTCTTATGATATTTATTTTCCACTCACTGTGTATGGGTGCAGAGAAGGAGGAGCCCAGAGATGTTTTTATTATTCCGTCTATCCCATTTTTTGTGACAGAGTTACTATTTGGAGAGTCATAGCAGTTTTTATTTTGTTTTGTTAATTATTACTATGGTTTATAGTACTTTTTACGTAGCTTCTAAATATATAAATCTTACTTTAGAAAAAACTTAAAGATTGATTTACGTCCGAATTAGCATCGAAAATTGGATAATTTGACCCTCGTAATTTGAATCCTCTCACATAAAGTAGGACGGAGGGAGTAGATGTTTTCAAAGATCAAGTTTAAATCTATAGTAAGTGAGAATTCTCAGAAAGGATTAATAAAAACTAAAATTGAAACTATATATACATGCCTGCGGAGGACTATTTTCTTCGGATTCGAGTCGATATTCATGCATGATCCAGTCAGATTTCTGGCCATTGGGTGCTCTTCCTCTATAAAACACCAGTGTTTTCCTCATCCCTATGAGTTTGGATTTATCGTACACTGCTTTGTCTCTTCCAGTAGCCTTCCAAAACCCTGCCAGGGTTGCCCTATTTGTTCTCGTCCCTGTCGGATACTTCTTATCTTTATGGCTGAAGAAATACCACTCGTTCTGTTCTTCATATCCGATCCGGCATTTATCTGCTCATTTCAATTACCATTGATTTAATTTTGACGATAAAATTTAAATGACAAGAAAAAAATCACTTAGATAAATAATAACTACATTAGGTAGAACCACAAATCTTTTGGGACATGTTTCAAAAGGGAATGCATTTTCGAGAAGACAAAGAGTAAACTGTCAAATCACCGCAGTAAAAAATCAGATAGTGGAACAAAACTAGCAGTGGATATCCATTCAGTTAGCTTAAATTGAACTCGTCGTTAGAAATTTGATGCTTCCTCAACAATTATTTTTACTAGAATGTCAAACTGAGAGTATTATTTGGCGGAGTTGGACGGCTGTTCCGCTATTAAGAACTTCTTTATTCTCTTATAGTTAAATAAATACAACTGACAAAGACTATTAGGAATTTAGGATCTGGTCATACCAGAGTCACTGTTGTTTATTTAACTAAGCTTAAAAAAAAAATTGGAAAATGTTCATGTGTCACAAGTTAGTTTGCAAGAAACCCTAATAAATCGTACCTTGAAGATCCCATGGCTCAATTCTGTAGAGATCAATATCTCTAATAACATCAAGATCAATCTTTTGGGCTGCAATTTTTTTTCTAAGATAGTATCCCACAAGCTCTTCATCCGTTGGATGAAACCGAAATCCTGGTGGAACACATGATGATGATTCATTTGTATCCATCATAACTCCTGTTTATTTACTCTGCATCAAATTCATCGCCAAGACTAGATCATTACAACTACATCTTCTTTACTTCATCATCTTTAAATCATAACCTAAGTAGTACCCACATATGTAAGATCGGTGAAAAGGTTAAAAAGTAAAGGGGATGATGTATCATGAACTCTACAAATGGAGAGGTGACAAATGTATTAACTCAGATATAATCATCACGCCATTTGGTGGTAAGCAACATCAAGTGTTTGTCTCTAGAAGTTTTTATTTATACAAATATGCGCGTGGTAATGTCCTTTTTACTTTCTTTTTTTTGTTGAGCTCTATTTGGGCGTGCAACATGCATGTTTTAATTTTAAAGTGAAGTTTAATTTTATACACAATAACATTGTAAATAAAATTACGTTATCAACTCAAGATAACTACAAGTAACTCACCATAATAAGTGAAACAAGTAATCTGATATGCATGTTGTGACAGATTAAATTATACTGACGGTGTAGAGAATAAGTTAAAATTTTAAAACTAGTGGTGGGGCTAAAGAGGAAGAGATTGAAAAGGAAAGAAAAACCAAATGATGAGGCTTTGCTATTGAGGAAAACCAAGGGGAAGAGTCAGCCGCTAGACCCTAATACTCTTGTGATTTGAAAGTATGAATAGAATTGAAGAAACGAGATGTAAAAGCTTGAGCTAATGATGATGTCTTGTGTGGTGTGAATGTACATAAATGATGCATGTAGAACGGACCCTTCACGACGATATTATAAACAAATACACTGTTATATCATACACGCCCCCACAAAATGGTCCTTCAATTCCAAGATCATTTAAAAATACAAGAAGGTGAAATTAAATTGCTTAGTTTAAGATTAAAAGGAAATTGATTAGTGTTTCTTTTCGGGGTCGACAGTAAGAGGACAAAAAAAAAAAAAAAAAA